GTGGGTAGCCTGAAGCAGCAGGGAGGGGGAAGCCTGTGGGTAACCTGGGGTGGGGGAAGCCTGGGTAGCCTGGGGCAGCGCGGGGGGGGGGGGGGCTGTGGGTAGCCTGGGGCCGCGGGGGGGGGCCTGTGTTCCTGTGAAAGGGGGCTGATTGAAGAGAAATGTCAACTTCAGCTTTAGCGCACCCAAGGTGACCTTGGTGAGCAGCGAAGGAATCACTCCTGAAGTTGCTTAAATAAAAATGTATTGCCACGCATAAAAAATTACAAACCCAAACAAAAACCCTTTGTACGGTTTGTAGAAAGTCCGCATTTATTTTCGGCTCAAAGTTTCTCTAGTGTTTTCTGTGGAGGGAATACAAATTAAAATTAACTGTTTAAAAAAAGAGTTTGGTCATTGTCTCAAGCTAACTGTGGAAGAAACTAGGGCGAACGTTCTCACCTGTTCAGGAAGAGGGACGGAGCAACCAGCAACTAGCATGCTTATAAAGTTGTAAAGAGTTAGTGACCTGGAGGCCAACGGGGATTCAGGGGTTAAAGTGTGTTGTGGAGAGATGCTGGATGGACAGGTCAGGAGAGACAAGAAAGGAAAAGAGAAGGTCAGCTGCCCACTTAGAAGGGCTGGGCAGGGCAGGTGACATTGCAGAGCAGAGGATAGTCAAGATGGGAGCCAGAAGGGCAGGGAGTGTGGTCTGTAGCAAACATAAGGTTCAGGAAAGGAACTTGCCTTCAGAACCAGCTTGGGATTGGGTCTCACTCCTTTCAGAATCAGTCAAGTGCAGACTGGGATCTGGGAGCAGCCTGAAGACAGCCTGAAAACCTCCCTGTGGTGCTGTGATCCATCCCCTCAGGCCTGGGTTGCACATTTCCTCAGGACAGCACCATCCAGCTCCTACGCTGATTCGCCTCTGCTTTCTTTCTGGGTCAAGCCTTTCCCCTAATTTGCTGGATACCATTGATTGACCCTTAGGCTTCTGATGGGACTCCACCTTCAGCTGCGCCCCCACTGATTTCCACCATGACCATGCCTGGTTTGAGGTCAGATCTGTCCAGTCAAAGATAAATTAGTAAGAAGGAAGACGAGGGTATAGCTTGATTGTAGAGGCCTTGCCTACCAAGTGCCTAGGCCCTGGGGTCAGTCCCTAGACAAGCACTTACAAAATACTTCACTACAGGCGGGACAGAGTTATTCATTTCTGTGGGGAATCACTTCCTCCTCAGACCAAATCTGTGAGGTAGGTGTACAGCAGAAATGAAGGGGGCAACAGGGCCATATCCGCAGAGCTAAAGTGTGTAAGCAGGGCTCTGAGTTCAAATGTCTGGCTTTTAATTACTGAGCTATACTAAATGAAGGATGGGGTGGGAGGGTGCGGTGGGGATAGAGACAGCATAGTATTGTGATCGAAAATAAATAAATGTGCGGAGCAGATGTAATCACAGAGAAGGGAGACTCGCAAAGCGGGAGGTGCCACCAAAGGAGAGAAGGCCTCCAATTATGCACACAAGAACATTTCTGTTTCTAAGTGGACAAACTCAAGGAGAGGAGACGCCTGTGCGCTGGCTGGTGGGTGGGAACGAGATTTGAGGTCCCTTGAATTACAACGTCTAGGCTTTAACTCAGAAAGGCTTGGATAGATAGCTCTTACACGGGGCCACAGGGAGGGTATCTGAAGTCAGCAAAGGTCACAAACAAGAACCCTTTCCGCTTCTCCCAGCTGCCAGAAACCCTCGGCAGGCGGGGGCCACACCCTCTGATGAATATTCATGACCTTCCCCCAAATCACTTGACTGGGCTGGCTCCTGCAATTGGCCGCCTGACCGATGCTAACGCTATGAAGTAGCCCAACACAAAATCGTGGACATTTTGAGATTTTTAAAACTGATTTTTTTTTCCTTGTGGGTTCTGATTTGTTTAATTTTGACTTAGTGATCTGCTGCCTGAATTGTGTAGAAGACAAGGTGGTGTGTCGGGGTCAAAAGGTCGGACATCCTGCTAGGGGTTCAAAGACTTTTATAACCTTTCTGAGAGAGAGTTAGGAGAAAGAAGGGAGCTGGCCTTTGAAGACTAAAAGAAGAGCAGGCACCCATAATGTGGACTTAGAGTTGCTAAGTCAAGCCCTCCACCCCACACCTCATTTGTGACAGCGCACCCTGGCCCTTGAATGGAGCAAGTCTTTCAATCCACTTCTAAGCCAACATGGTGCAAATACTACACTTTCACAAGACAAGCTCTGTCTCTAGGAGATAGGAACACAACAGACGGGCTGATCACCGGGGCTTCCGTGCCGTTTTCATAACTCACACATGTTACTAGGCGGGTGTTTCAGTTAGTTCAGGCTCCAATCTGCTTAATACATGGTATTAAGACAGGTATGAGACAGGTATGAGACATTGGTATCATTCTGTGTTATGGGCTATCAGTTTGTAAAACCGTTAAAGATACACTGGTTTATAAGCAAGCGGATTGGCCGTGTGTTAACACTTGTTTTTGGTTTTCTGGATTTTGACTGATGGAGACTTTTTTCCAACCCTGATAATGTATGTTAGTTAGTAAATGCAAGTTACTGCTTTGTGTACAAGGTAGGCTTTGGGAGAACCAGAGCCACTACTTTCTATTGTTATTGCTGCCTCAAGAGTTCACTTTAGAACTGACTCAACGGAAATTACTGGAAACGTTCTTGAGTACATCTATTCCATTAGTTCCTCGGCTTCCTACCTACAAACTAGAAATGGATGAAATTACATTATGAGAGGAAACCCAGAGACTAGGGCGGGCTACAGCATGGAAGCATTTAGCTTCCCCGCCACAACCATCCAAAGCGCTGAGCAAATTGGCACCCCTGTGAGCAGCCTATGGCAAGTGGGGTCAAAGTCAGAGAAAGGGCACAGACAAATGTCCCAGTAATGTGTGTTCTAGACTTTACAGCCAAGCTCACCATCAATCCCAAGCAGAATTCCAGATATGACACAAGAAACCAGAGAGGAAGTTTACAAAATGGCCGCTGGGACCCGGTAAGAACTTACAGAGGTGGGGTGAGGAAGGGATGAGGCCAAAGCGGCACCTCAGCCATTAAGGGCGCTTGCTGCCCTTGCAGGAGGACTCGGATCCAGCTCCCAGCGCACACATGACAGCTTCCAGCCGTCGGTAACTCCAGTCCCAGGGTATTGACCCCCGTTTCTGGCTGCCAAGAGCACTAGACACACACGGTACACATATATCCATGCAGGAAAACTCTCTTACATACAAAATGAACAAATCTTTTAAAAAATTTTTCTAAGGACTGGTCAGACTTTATTCCTTTAAAATAATACCAATGAAGATCTGAACTTTATCACAACCCAAAAATCAAATCAAATAAAAAGTCTCTCTGCCTTCCCCCATGCTCCTCCCTGCCCCCTGTGACCAATTTGGTATTCAAAATCTCCTAGCTGAGCTTATAAAAGTCGAAGAGACTAGACATGAACATATAAGAAACTGGATTAAGTACAAAGGTATTTCCAATTACCCATGAGTGATTTGCTTATACTACATGTATATCTTTGTACATGCATATACGCAGTACATGCATGCCTTGGGAACTGCACGCCTTTCCTTCTATGCTCTGCCTCTTACTGGCTGTGTGAGTACAATGGACATTCCTGGGTTTCAGCTTCACAATTGCAAAATAGAAATAGAGTAAGTTCTTCATGCATATTAAAGGAAAAAAAACATGTGACGTAGGTACCAACAAAAGGCAATCATTATTAACAGTGTATTTTAAAAGGTAAAATTCAAATGTAAAGTGTTAGAGAGATAACTCAGTAGTTAAGAGCACTGGCTGCTCTTCCAAAGGGCCTGGGTTCAGTTCCTGGCACCCACATAGTTGCTCACAGCCCTCTGTAACTCCAGCTCTAGTGGACCCAGGGCTGCCTCTGGCCTCCGCAAGTACCAGGCACATGGCATACAAATACACATGCATGCAAAACACTCAAACACAAAACATATTTTTTAATTCAAATATAAATCATGAAAGGAAAGAACTAACATTCTAATTTACTGAAAGATTAACATATAATAACCAAATATTATGTTTCAGGGGCAAACTGAAGCTTCTTAAGATAATTGACTTTATCTTAAGCTAAAACAAACCATCTCAATTAACTCTGGTTGGTCAGATCCTATTTAAAATTCCCCGGTCCTTCCCAGTTAGTATACTTGAGAAAGAGCTAGGGGAAAGCTAACTAACATTTAGGACGGTTCAAGACCCCAAACAATAATATCTGAGAAATGCATGGAGGAAATGATGCTTTTATCTAGGAGAAGTTCCATGACAGCTGTTGGTGTGCAGAATGACATAAACTTGATTCTCAGAGCACCAAACCGCAGGCTTAGAACAAATGATTACTACGAGATAGATAGGAGTGACTATGGGATACATTTGTGATTCAACACATAGGAGTTGAACAATGCAATGAACATTCTTTGGGAACAGCAAATGCACAAGTACTCATAGTAATTCCATGGGGGTGGGGTAGGGAGTGGAACCCAGTATGAAGAAAAGAGCAGAAGACTCCATTGCACCGAGAAGCCAGTATCCCGGTCTTAGAGTTCACGATGCTTCCTCGCTGTCCAGGCATGACTAATCAATGACCACTCTTTTTCTTGCAGAGCTAAGCTAGCCTGGTAATCCCTTCAATACAGTGCTTCCAGTCATGATGATTAATCCGCTGAAGTTGACTACCCGCCCAACGCAGATGACACCTTGATGTCCTAAGATGCCACAGTTTAGAATTTCCCCAATTTCACAACTTTACGTCTGTAAATTAATTAGAATAAAAGTCATAGTTAAGCACAAAGGTACTTGCAATTACTCATGTGTGCATTTGTTTATGTCTACATGTCTACCTTTGTACACACCTGTACATGTGGACCAATAAAAGCATCTCTTTGGTCCTAACACAAATGAAGATCCCATGAGGGAAATAACATGCATGAACCACATGAACCTTTAAACCATGGATCTCAGCTGTTGATACTTTCTGACATTGTTTTACAGGTACCCATTCATTTTTTACCTCGAGAAAATTCAGGCTTTTTCTACCTTTTCCAGAACTGCATAAAATTCCAAATTTCTTGCTTGTGGTATCCTATACCTCCGCCCTTGGCCTCAGAGAATGGGGCAAGAGAATTATGAGTTCAAGGCCAGCCTGGGTTACATGGTGAGTCTGACACTAACCCAGGCTATATAGTGAAGCCCTGCCCCAAATTAAAAATAAAAAAGAAGATAAGTCAGAACAGACAAAAACCTAAGAAAGAATGCATGCAGAGAGACCGCAGACAGGTAAACCTTCTGTACTGATAGCCACCACTGCCCTTTCCACATTGCCTCCAAAAGAGCGACCCAGTGTCGAGGGCTCATACAGGTAGGACAGTTTTTAATATAACGTTCTAGTCACAGAGGAACGCTGTCACATCACGTGGGTGTGGGAAAGTTTATGGGAAGAAATGAGTGGAAGCCTGCAACCCAGCGCTTCCCTAGATTCCCAGGATCGAAAGCTTGGGAGCCAGGGATGGAAATCCCAGTTGTTGCTGACCCCCTCAGTGGTTGCTGCTTTTAGCAGCTGGATCCGGACAGAGCAGACTCTGCTGGACATGCCAGAACCCTACCGGGAAAGCTGTCAGTCTGTGCCTAGGAATGCTGGGTAAAGGAGGAGGAACCACACTGCGCGTCTCCCAGCTAAAACTCCCAGACCTTAAATTATGACACCGTTTACAGTATCGTCTTTTGACAGGATCGAGAGCCATTATGTCAAGATTTGGAAAAGAAAGCCAGGAACAGATCTCTCTGAGGTCACCTTCCCACCGAATGATTTTGAAGAAATAAAATAGCCATTCTTTTTGGAGCCATAAAGCCTGAGAAATATAAAGGCGATTCGTCTGCTCCTGTGCTTCAACTCTACTTTTGCCTTCTATTAGCTGTATAAACTATATAAATTTCCTTTCTATAACATGGGAATGTTTTTTTTTTCAAGAGAGGTGTGCATTTAACACACCATAAACTAGAACGACAGAACATGGAGCCCACTCACCAGCGAGGCAAGGTTCCAAGACGCTGGTGAGCTGTGCAATGTGTTGCATATAAATTAGAGCAAGAACCTCTTTTAAGGATTGAAGACTTCCACTTTCCATTTCCATTTCCTTTCCTTTCTTGATGGTTGAAATCATCTATCCGGTACCTCCCTTCTTGTGCCAAGCTGACGACCACTTGCTCTATGATTCTCCATGGCTCCACAGTGACCCCACATTCTTGTTAACACCCCTACATTGTGAGAGTCGAATGCCATCTGTCATGTGATCGATGCACAGCCATCCCTCAAGGGGTTAGTAAATGCCTCTTCTCTGAAGCACCCTTCCCTTTGAAGCATAATGCAGTGTTATATTTTGACTTTCAAGAACCACTCAGGATGGAAGGAATGACCAGACAGGCCCGCACATACACGTTCCCCCACTCCTTCCAGGCCAGCTCGACTATAAATATATCAAGATGTGTCCTAGAGCTAGCCACAAATCACCTAATGATTTTCCACTTCTAGGCTCTCAAGAGCCCTTCTCTTAGAAAGCAAAGCTAATGTGTTTGTTTCTGCCCCATCCTTTTGAATAATAGACAGAGGCTATTATACCTCAAAAGAATAAAAAAAAATCATCTAATAACACAAAGTAATCCAGGTAGAAATCTCTGTTGCCCTTCCAACTCTTTCCTCACTGTCTGTAAGATCCTATCGGTTTGAGTCATAAAATGCAGCAAGTTTTAAGAATCCTAGCTCACCAGAAGGACAAGCTATTTAGAAATTAGGTCACATCTTAGGGCTTCTTGCCAGACTCTTGGACAGGAATAGGAAGATCATTGCCAGAGTATCTTTGAACACAAAGAACAACGAGAGATAATGTTCTGTTGGGCAATGCTGAACAGCTATATCCCTTGTGTGTGGGGTCACTTGGAGTAAAAATTCCCTGACAAAAATAAGGGGGCTGAGTAGAATGCATCCAATGTCTGCCTTCTATGAAATGGACTTTTTCTGTGTCAGTTTTGCTGTTGTAATTTGCACTTCCTATGCTTTGAGCTCTGTAGTATGGGATGAAAGGTGTGGGGGTAAACAGACAAACTTCCGTTGTTTCAGCTCCTCCTCCATTTTCCCATCCCTTCATGGCCCTGAGATACACATAAACAATGGCGAGAATGGCTGCTGGAAGGGTTCTCACTCCTCTAGTTCAGTCCTCGAGGCATCCTTCCCCCTTAAACATGGCGTAATGTCATGGTGTAACTTTCCAAATCCACTCAGAAGGGATAACACAGAGCCAGGCATCCAGTCAGGAATTCATGTCATCAAGTGGCCTTTGCAAGTGTAGCTCCCTGCCCTTATTAGGAAAAAGAGTAAGTTCAAAGTCCCTCAACATTTAGCAACTGGGACCCGTTGGCCTCAGTTCAGAGCCAGAACCTGCTTATAAAGGAGTTCCCAGGACAGATTTGCAAATCATCAGCTGAAGCCCACGTGAAAGATGGATCCTGTAAAACCTTCATCAGCTTGCTGTTCTTTGAAGATGTGCAGTCAAAGGTTGGGTGGCCAGTTGACAATGGTTTTCGGATAAGAGAAAGAGACAAGGAGCCCACCAGACTCCCAGAAGTTGCAAACTGACAGTAGTCTTCAGATGCATGGCAAGGGACAGAGCACCTGCTTCCGGGCACAGAGGTGCACTGTGGGCATAGGCAGGCATCTGCTTCTGGGCACATTGTGGGCTCAGGCAGGCAAGTGTCATTTCCTCCTGCACATCTCAAGTGAAACTCTGAAACTGTCTAGGGTTTCTTGGTTTTTTGTTTTTTGTTTTTTTTCGTAAAAATCTGCTGCCAAAGCATTTCAAAACTCCGGTGCCTAGTTGTCTCTTAAAAGAATAAAGCTCCTTGGGGTACACAAAGTCCTATTCCAGGAGAGATCGATAGAAAAATGTTAAACTGTCAGTGATAAATTATTTTATGTATTGATTTCCATGGCTTTTAGGGCTGCTAGTAGCAACAGAGGAAAGGCTAATCACTCTGGAATGTGCGTGCCCTTAGGGCATAGCTCCAGGGAGCAGGGAGCTCGCTGGTTAGTCCAAAGTATGTAATAGGGAAAGAAAGTTTCCTTCAGTGTAATGGAATCCTCCATTTCAGCTCCTCTTTAGCATTTATAAGACAAACAATACCAAGAATGGAACATTTAGCAGCCATCTGCTTTGCATGCAGAATTGGATGGAATGATTCACATGCAGCGTGCTACTTTAATCTTTTCTTTAGAATACTGCCAGAAGCATTGTTCAGTGAAAATCTCTCTTTCGTGCAGGCACATGCCAGGCCACAGTTCCGCTGTCACAGTCCTTATGAGCAGTGCTGGCTAAGAAGTTCTGTTTTAGAGACAGCATATGCAGTGTTTGAAGAGACTGCCACAGGATGGAGAAAAGATGCAAGCAAATTCTGAAAGCATCTAGCATCTACTACCTGCATTCCTTAGTAGACTGGAACTATTCCATTAC